CTAACTGATAATCTATAGTTTTCCTTGGTTGAGAAAATGCATGTAGATTCTGAGTAGTGTTACTTTCATAGCGTTTCACAGTATTGGAAATGATGGTCCATCAAAATATGTGCCCTAATTTTTTCTTTTTCTTAAGATAAAATGAGAGGATATATTTATACACAACCAAATTTGACTTACTGCCCAAGAAAAGATGAGACCCAGCAATGTTGGCAGTTTTGCTAACATTTTCTGAAGAGGTATCCTGAGGCAAGCATCAAGTATCTAGGCTTTTACATTTGGATGGTTTTGTTTTTATTATCAAGTAAAAATAGTGCTGCAAAAAACTCTTTTGTTCTTTTAGCTCATATTTGGTGTAAAGATTAATGTGTATGCATCTGAATGGGAAGGACACTAACACCTTTGCCAAAAACAGAAAAAGTCACAGAACAACATAACATTGAGCTGTGAAAGTCAAGAAAATTATAAATAACTGCCGCTATATCCTAAAGGAAGGAAAACATTTCCACATCCCGACGGAAGTGGAGATGCCGGATCTTATGTTATGAGGGCCCCTTTCAGGGCCTTTCTCCAAGATTTTTTTTTTCTGTTCCCTGCCTCCTGTGAATAATCTCTCCTACCATTGCAGTAGTAATGGCTCTACTTACACACATTCAGATTCAGACTCATATTGCTCCATGCATTTTCTACATCCTTTTCCACTTTACATACCAGGTCCTCTTCCTTTGTCTGTATCCAAAGCTGTCAGATATGTCCATTAAATTTCAAGTAATAATATTATTCCCTTACAGTTACAGTTCTCTTTTTTCTCTTGAAAACTGCCAACCTCCACTCATTAGCAATAAGTCTCCAAGGTTGTCAAATATCAATAACACGTCCCCTCAAACTGAGCCATGTTTACTAATCCCTACAACTTGCCTATTTACACATATGTCCAGTCATATCATATCGTACAATTGAGGAAAATGTCATTAAGGAAATTGTTATCTGTATTAACCAAAGTACATCTCATGAGCTTAGTTTTTGCTATTGGATTCAAGTCGGACACATTTCTAGAAAACTGCTGTGACTATGAATGATGTGACTCACCACCTGCTAAGACTCTGAGACTTAAACTATGTGAACTATTTAATCCATTGATTAAGAGGTAAAGGAAGGAAGCAGGATTCTGCAAATGCATTGCTTATTTTTTGCAGAAATGCTATGTATGGAACATATTTCCATAAAGAAATATCTGAATTCATAGCGCAAATGACAGCTTGGAGAGTTGTATGTATAGAAATCATATAAGAATGTGTACTTTTGTGGTGAATCTTGGTCAGGTATATAGCGGTTAGGCTGACATGACAACATCTTGTCTGACACCAATTTGTTCCCCATGACAGTAACAATAATATTATCAGCATGACTTATTTAGAACTGGAGGGTTAAGTCCATGACTTGTGGCCCAACATGACCTAATCACTGCAATTTGGGAAATGACTCTTGAGAGACTGTCAAACATTTGTTTTTGTTTTTTTTTTAGAATTGACAGCAAGCTTTTACTGATTAACTAAGTAAGTAAGTAAAAAATGACTAGGCTATGTTATGCAGTTTAGTAATTAATACTGCTTGTTTTTCTCAATTGAAGATTGCATGTGGTCATTAAGCGGCAGGGTTCACAGTTTTATTTAATTAAAAAAAATTTTTTATTTTTAGATGTAGAGCAAAGTTCACATTGTGTTGACTCATTACCTCAAATTTGATGGTCTTAGCTGTTTGGATTGGTGTCATTTGCACTATGTTTACAAAGAATACACACTGACAACCAATGTTGAAGCAAAGTGACTTGGAATTTACTCAATCATATCTTTATCTGTATTTGTACTCAGTCATCTCATAAGCCATCATTGCACCAGTGGCAGAGCCAGTGATTAAAGGCAGCCTGTATAGAAAAAATTAACATTCAAGAGTTGATGGTTGTGTATATAATCCTGGAGGCGTTTCAATTTAGATTCCAGCCATTTCATGTCTAACCAACCCAAAGCTGTATAGGTTCAGCATGAATCAACGCTTCTGCTTTTCACAGATTCAAATAAAAATTTAAAAATCACTATAAACCCTTGGAATAACACAACTCATCTATGCTACAAACAACTACCTGAATGCCAAATATGTCCTGTCTGTGTATGACATACATTTCTTACATATTTGGGGTGTAGATACTGTTTCAAATACTACTTAAAAAGAAAAGTGGTCAGTAGCTTTCTGTGTTATCACTCCTTGTTCTGAGGTGAGACAGAGTTGTTTCCATTAAAATCGTTCCCCTTTACAGAGCCACTAATGATCTGTCATTAAGATACATTGATTTCCCCTTGAGGAGGTGGTATGGAGGGATTCACTACTTATGTGTATTTCTCAAGGCAATATAATCAAATATGGACTTTATTACCATTATCACAGTGAGATAAGATTAATATGTCAGGACAGAAGTAGTCCATACTTTAATTAACTTACAAAATGTATGATGTGTTGGCAGGCGCCATGCTGAAGTCACCAACTTATTAAAAGGAATGTGTTATATGTAGATGTGTTACACTGATGATGAACTTGAGCTAAAATAATGGAATATCTGGGCATGAGGATACTTGTGGTGCAGTTGAGGCAATAAGCATAAGCATTTAAATTTTCTTGTATTTTCCGTAATCTTTGCAGGATTTGTCAGAAATAATTCCCTGACATAGAGTGGCTGAGAGGCATCATAGAGCATATGCTATCTAACATAGCCATTTCACTCCTTGCCAAGCATCTGCTGATCCCATATGGGTATTGTATGTGTGTGTGTTTGTGTTTGTCTATGAGTGTGACTGCGAGAGACACACTTACTGTTTGTTTTCAGAGGAATCTTTCATCATTCCTTACAGATGGAGGGAACCATGGAACTGTACAGATAATTTGTGCTGGCTATTGATTATACCAGCAGATACATCAATCATGTTTCTTCATCTTGGATCCAACAATTATGATACTTTCACATAAATATTGTAGAGAGAAAGATGCTGATCACAAGATGCAGTTTTTCTGAGCGCAACCAATTTGTTTTCTCAGGTGTCTGAATGTAACTTTAACAAATTTACCGACAACACTGCCTCGAAGGCTTAAAATAAAAATAAAAAAATAGAGACCGCGGAAGAATACTGATACAGAACAATGCCAACATGTAATGTCCCATGTGCATTTAGAGCAGTTTTAATAGACAACAGTTTTGATTGGGGAACAGATTGTGTGGGCTGCTAAACATGAATGCATGTTTTCTGTATTTTGTGTTTCTCTTGTATCCCAGGAGGAGGTAGAAACAGCCCCCTACTGCTTTTATTTCCCATGTGCATAATAGGCTTGCTTTATTAGAACTGACTCTGCCATCTCTTTCAGATTGAGCCTGCCTCACAAGACACCTCTCTCCCCTTACTGACACTGTATGTGGTTTAATGAGCGCTCTGTGCGCTAATGCCTCTGTAAGCCATCTCCTTCCCCACTACTCCTCTAATCTTATTCACAAAGGAGCACAAGTCACCCTCTAAGGTGTCACTCATGGGGTTTGTGTCTCTATTACCTCTTACCTGATGTACCTCTTACCATTACTGTTCTTATGCGATATCTACTTAGATGAGCAATTTCTCCTCTGTTTCATTCTCTGTCCTATTGAAAATATGCTAGTTATGCATGTCCTTGAACCCTGAAGCCATCAGGATGTTTTTATACAGTGAAGACTATTTTTATGCATGTGGTCAAAAAAATCTGCTCCGCCCTTTCCCTTCCCGTGTTGATTTCCATTTTTGCTCCCCAACTGTCTCTTTCTTGCTAGCTTTCAGATCCAACTTTTTAGGATGAACATTTTTCTTGCTTTCTTTTCAGTGTTCGGTGTGATATATATATGTGCTTCTCATTTTTCTTTGTCAAACTCTGCAGTTATCTGTCTTAATCTAACATGACTGGATAAGTCAAAGCTAAAGTTTGTCTGAAGGCATGTGCGTATTGCTTAGTTATGTAGCAGACAGCCCTGCTGTCCTCAGCACAAGAAGATAGCTATTTCTGCCTCTCAACCCTAACACATAGAGAGAGTAAGTGCACTTTACTGCTGACCTAAAATAAAACCAAATGTAGCTTAATAACTTGGCAAATGGACTCGCTAACTGGTGCACTTTGAGTGCACACAAGTGGCTCATTGCTATTTGCTGCCTGTCATTGACAAAATGCTACCAGCCTCAGCCTTGACTGCACACAGAGACTGGACAGTAGCCGAACACATAGGGAAGGACGTCCCCAGACCAGCCCAAGCCATCCTATTAGTCTCCAATTATCTTTGAGATGATAGCAAGGCCTGCCAAGTTAGACCCATTTCAACAGTGGTTAAAAAACATTGTGTCCTGGCGTGCCTGTCTTGTATTTGTAGTACTGATTAGGTAGAACATATAGAAAAGCACTGCAAGGAGTGTTGTCATGAATCCCGTGTGCGTGCACACACACACACTCTCTCTCACACAAACACACACACATATATATACTGTTTTGTTTTTGCCCCTTGTCCGATTCCTAATTTCCCTTGGTGGCAACAGTTCCATGCAGGTGGAGTGACGGAAAATAACCAATCAGCCTTCATCTCTCACTGTGGAGTAAGTTCCTGGCCCTGAACATTACTTTTCATTATGGTCACTGTGACATCAGAGCATATTGATTAGTCCGCCAAATTTGTAAAACTGAAATTATTTGTGGATACAGTCCTAGTTGTAAAACAAAGTGTAAATGTGCAGGTAAATAAACAGTGACCAGGTGTTAGCAATCCTTCTGCTTATCATTATTTTAAAGTGAAACATTGCTAATGGAAATTCTGTTCCAGGTCCTGGGGT